GTACAAGGCAACTAAGAAATATTTGGCTGCCAAGTTATTGTGGACACCTCTGATTCCATGCAAACTGAGAAATTTTCAGTTAAATGTTCCAGGTGTGCCCATTAGTTGGCATGTAGCATTGTTAGTAAGGAGGTTGTAGCTTTTGCAAAAGACTAGGAGTCTAGCATGATTGGGTTAACCATTTCCACCCAAACATTAGTATATAGATTCTCTGTGCTGCTCTCTTCGATTGACCAGCATCTAATTTCTCCACATAGTAATACTGCTGAATCGGTCTTAAAGGTCGTAAGAATAGGGGAAATGATCACCAACCTAAAAGCTTTGATTGGTAAACAAATTCTCCTTGTCATTACTGAAGGGAATGCATAGAGAAGGGTATGGATAACATGGATACTGATGTTAGGGTGTTAACATGATACATGAAAATATTATGTGCTTCTGATGGGTTGAAAACCAGTGCATTTTTCATGCAACAGTAGTGCAAAGTTGTAAGTGCGCAAATTACAAATAGCATGCTCTGTCAAAATTTCATTTGTCTTTACTTTCTGTGATGCTTTTTTATGCAAATTATTTATAAGTAAGAGCATGATTTCTCCTGTAATTTGGTGTAAATAAGCACTTCTAAATTATTTAAGACTACAGATTGCACTTGCCCTACAAGCTTGTGCAATTGTTGTCTTTGAAAAATTTACTAGTGTTTATTTACACCAAATTGCACTCAAAATCATGACATTACCTATACAAAGGGTTAACCCTTTATGCCCTAAGAATGATGAATAACTAATTTCTCCTCACGATATCACCCCTGAATCACACATTAATGTCATGAGAACAAAGGAAATGATCATTAACTGAAGAAGCTCTTGATTGTTAAACAAATTCTCCTTGTCAGCACAGTGAGGAGAATATGCATACTTATGTTAGGGTGTAAAGGGTGAAAGCTCAACACACTGTTGTCTCTTAAAGGTTCATTTGGTAGGCCTTGATATCTTCACTGGCAAGAAGTATGAAGACATCTGTCCCTCAACTCATAACATGAATGTGCCTAATGTCAATCGTGAGGACTACCAGGTAATTTTTGTTTCTATTCCTAAAGGGGGGAGAGGGGTGTATTGGTGGTGAAGCTTATAAGGATTGTGTCACGTGTATGTAAACTTTGGTGGGTTTTTTAGGTTCTTAAGTTGTGATACCTGCCTTTAATCTAGTGCTAGTAACCATAATCTTGTGTCTAATCAGTTACCTGCAATGGCAACATAAAATATAATTTATTTTAAGTGCCTCAAAACCAGGGATCAAACAGGTGTTTTTGTTTTAAGATACCTAGAATTTTAATTAGGCTGCATGAGAGCCCGCCAATCTTTTGCAACAGGAGAACTATTTACTTTGAGGGAAGTGCATAAAGAGCAGGAGGGTATGGAAGATTGGAAAGAAATTATAAGAATTGTGTAGCAGTTAGTAAGGAAAATTACTAATAAGATCTTGGAAGTGAATGGGTGTCAGTGTCTAACAGCTTTTGAAATGTGTGAGGTATTACAGAAGTATTTACTTGCTTCCCTTTCCATGTAGGTGAATGATATACAGAGTGATGGATATTTGCATTTGATGAATGATAATAATGGTGTGCGCGAGGACTTGAAATTACCAGAGAACGATGTGGGGAAAGAAATAAGATCCAAACATGAAAATGGTGAAATTGTGTCCGTAACTGTTCTAAGTGCCATGGGAGAAGAAATGGTTATTGGTAGCAAGGTAGTCCCGCTGACCAAGTAAACAACTCTACACCCTTTTGCAATCCAGGCTATGGACATTGAAAGAAAAAATAAGATTTAAAAAAAACCAACAATAAAACAGACCATTCTAAGAGAGCAATTGCACAATTTTTTTTTACTGGATGCCTTCTTTCCCTAGCCTTACCACAAGCACTTGGCTTCTCAATGATAATAGGTTTAGTGAGCAGTTTCCTTTCTGAAAATGTAACTAATCTCAGCTATTGCAGTACAATTAACTCTTCCATTGTTTCGGGTAGAACAAAACAAAAGACTATTAAAAGGAAAGCTTAAAGCTACCATAGTAGCCAATGGTGTACTGCTTTTGCAGGTCCAAGGTTTCGTTTCTTTGATATTGTTGTCATTTCAGTCCAAGTGAAGGTGAAATGAGTAGTATTTTTTCAAGACTGCAGAATTCTTGCTTTAATATTGCCATGGTTTAATTGAATTAGCAGAAGGTTTTCTGGAGTAACAAGGAAACAGATTCTTGCAATAAACTTCTGGTTTGCATAAGGGTGCTTGATTCTTTAATACTATGAGCAATTTCAAAAACTTTTACATGTTTTGGCATGAGGACTTACAGTCTGTGCTGAGGGGAGAAAGGTTTCTACGCAAGGTTGAAATAGTTAGCAATAACTATCGATGTTTGAGCATAAAATATTTGTAGGTTGGATTTCTTTTTCATCTTCATTCATGTAGTCAAAAGTAGTTTTCAATGATTGAGGAGTATATCAGATTTTGCTTTGTCTGGTTGGGCTCAAAGTAGAGGTTAATAAGTTCTGTATAGTTAACAGGTCACTCTCTGGCTTGGGAAGGTAGACAAACAAAACATTTTGCCAAAGGATGTTTCTTTGGAGGGAGTGGGAAATGAAATGATGCTCATGACATGAATAAAGCTAGGGTAATGAGGCGAGTAACCTGGGGAAGGGGGGTGATAAGGGAGGGTGAGTTTCTGAAGAAACTGATGTGTTCCATCCATGGAAGGGCATTTCAAGGTAATTTGGTGTTATCAACTGAGTTGATGAGATGAAGTCGCCTCCATAGAGAGTTTCTGAGGCTGAGGGTTTGAATGATGGCTCTTGATCAGAGAATGTAATCCAGGGCTAGCACTCAAATAGTTGGCTTTAGGTTCTCTACAGTGGTTAATGTACATTATCAACTTAATTGATAAAACCAAATTTTCTTTCTTTTTTTTTTTCTTTTATTTCTAGCAACCGTTCTTTAAGTTGAGATAACGGGTTCATTTGTTACAGTGTTAGTTCTGTTGTTTCTTACCCTTTTTTTGTGGGGTGGTGGGGACAGATTAGTCTGGTACCCAGACATTCCACGGGGAAGTTACAGTTACACGGTTTGATCAGGGCATAGAAGGAAGTCATCCCGAGATAAGCGTAATACCCTATATTAGTGTTGGAAAATCCTGCCTGTCTGGTTAGAGGTGCCAACTGCTTTTGAGTTGATAATTAATTGCAGAAACAAGTAAAAATTATGAGGCGAATAGCACAAGACCTTTGGAAACATTGTTTATTGTGTTAAAAAGAAGAAAGCATAACAAAAGAAAATTGTAGAATTTTCAGGTTCGTGTGCATGGTCGGCGAAACTCCTGGCCTCTTTCATTGATCCATTTGTTAGCAACTACATACACAAAACAAAAAAGGATTTTAGGAGCAATTAAAGGCAGTTGCCAAAGGCGTCTTTTTCTGAAGAAGGCTTCAACAGTAAAATCCACAAGATTCCATTCAAATCACCCACAATGCTTCCAGAAACGAGCTTGCGCGTGCAGACGTACCGGCATTTCTAGTTGTCGCTCCGGAAATCTGTCTGCGTTCACGGGCCGCAAGTGACTAACATTTTGATTGAAAACGACGACCACCATTGATACAAGTTATGAAGGAAGAGGGTGGGAATTTTCATTTTAAACCGGAGATCAGACTTTTCCATAAATGTGATCGTATAAGACTTTTGTTTTATTTCTCAAACTTGCAGTCAAAATGTTAGAAAATTAAACTGTTGTTGAACAATTACTCCCTCTTTTGATGATTTAACATTTAATACGCAAATACATTTTGCTCGTTGCTAAAATTACAACCGACTCAACCTGCAAACTATCCGCTTGTATTATATGTTAAACTATCGAATGAGGTGTGGACGGCACATTTACCCCATTTTGAGCCAATGACCACAGGGCAGGCAGCGTGCAACGTTTTGACGTCAGGGCTACCATCTTTTTTAAGATTAAACCAAAATACTGCGTCACCCTAAAAAGGCATAAATCCGTAAAAAAAATACTTCTTTAATCCTGGTCAATGATTGATTGAACTAGTTAAACAAATACGACTGAACGAAGCAGAATAGAAGGCAGTTTCTTTAGAAAGAGCTGTCTGTCAGAACGTAACTTTTTCATCCCTTGAAAAGACAGAGCCTTGGCAACTACAAACCTTTCGAGGATATACAATTACTTCAGCATCTAAGAACACCGTCGCACCGCCTGCCTCCACGTCACTCATCTAAAGATGCGAAAGATATCAGTTCACTGATTAGTTGATCGCCTGGTCTTACCCAGGGGGAAGGGGTACTCCCTCTTAACATACATCTCATGACAGATACCTCTTTTTGTCAATATCCGCGCAAAGTCTATGACAACGGGAATTCCCCCTCGAAGGGTTGTTAACAGAATACTTACAGATCATATCATAGGGAGATGGAAGATTTAGACATTTGAACATGTTTCTGCCTGCCAGACTGCCAACGGGGAACTGCTGATCGCTTATTCCTTTAATCTTAATTAAGTTTAAGACGAAATAGGGAGGGGGGTGACATTCCTAACCAAGTTTCAGTAAGCCCTCAAAGGTCGGCATAACTAACGTACATAAAACAGTACTGTAGCTATCCTGTCACCGTCAATATCGTCAACAGGAAGGCTTCCGTCTAGATTCTGATGACAAAAAAAAATAACATTTTATTAACTTAGTAGAAACTCTTGGGGGTGGGGGTGGGGCAGAGCATAAAAGAAAAATTTCCATAGTTGGCTGACTTTTTCGCTGTTTAGTTTTATTTCATTATTGTTGTTATTTCCTGTTGATCTTTGCGGGTTTGCGGGCAATTCTTTTAACAATTCGGACTGCTACATTGCACGTCCGAAAACTGACTTTTCTTATAAAGGCTTGAATTGGTAGACTCGAACCAGTTTTCTCAGTAAACACATAAATTTATTAATCAATCAAGCTACTTTTACAACTAACCTGCAGGAAATCGTGATGTGGTTCATAATGTCCTCCCATACCGTAGTTCGCCACCTCGTAAGAAATAACATCGATAAAGTCATTAGAATCATTTTCCTTCACTTGAGAGTTAACACTATTTTTCTGTTTTGCCAATCAAAGTGATGATTGGTTTTATTTTTGTATCTGATTGGTTGAGAGTGTGGCGCGAGTTTTCTAGACCAATCACAAAGCGAAGTAAGGCAAATCATTCTGTAGGTAAAGTCAGCATTTCTGAGCGTTTCTGATCCCCATTTCCTGAGTGCTCCGGCCTCTTTTTTTTTGGCTGCCCTAATTTGAAAAGTTAAAACACACACTCCTCCGCGGCTTTTTAACTGCTTCGTCCCAGGTCTCCTTGACGCTTTGTTGCGTAGTGCGCATGGATTTCTGGGACTGTAACACTAAGGAGATCAGCCCGAGTCCTCTCTTACCTTCAGAGGACCGTGGAAATGAAGTCACAGAGAGTTTTCATCTCAGCAGTAATGCAAAATCTTACCTGTAATGCTTCTGAGTGTTCAGAATCTAGAGAAAGACCCGTGGTAGTTTGAATCCTCTGGCTAATTTTCTTTACTACAAAAGAATCATTGTCGTCCAGCCAGGCGCTGATAGACAAACAGTTGGAAAGAAAGAAAGATTACTCTAACTTCTATGATAACCTGCTGGATGGTGGTGG